GGGTGGCCAGTCAAAAACCAATGTACACTGAGGGGTGGCCGAAAACAGATAGGCGCCAGAACCTTAGGGTCAATCTAAACTGGAACGAGCGCAACATCCATATTTTCTAAATATGACAAACTATACTTTCCTTCAGCCTTTGCTAACAAATACACGCATATATTTAAACATCCATTCTATCTAAATAAAAGGTTTAGTGGACAAAATTTCTGGGGCGAACATCTTTTCCATTGTCATTAATTACCTACTTTTATAACAAAAATTTTGTGCATAAAACTAATATTTACATAGACTAATATCTACATTATTATTAAAGTAGTTACTCTTCTATGATTTCACTGAAGACTCCTAGATGACTTGCAGAAACACATCATTTTCTCTTTACCCCATATAACACAAAATTTAGTTCTGAAGAGAGCATGAATCCTGTATATATAAACTTTAATGTTAGTATTTTGATGTGTATAATTAAACACAGTGTTTTAATTGTCATGCTAATAAATGAAAAATTTAAATGTTTAATAAGTTGGAATATTCCCCTTGAGAGTATTACTGCTGCCACCGTCTGTATTAGAGGGGGGGCACAAGGGGGGCCAATGATTGGTTAAGGGTGGCCATGGCCACCTCTGGCCCCCCATCTCGCTCCGCCCCTGAGTAAAACAAACAATTAAAAAGGTTCTCTAATGAGATAAAACTACACTCAAAAAGCTATTTTCAAATAAAGTAAAAATGAGAATGCACTTCTTTTTAGATTCTTGTTTACAAAAACAAACAAAGAGAAATAAAAACTTTGTATAATTTATTTTCCCACTAACAGTTATGCACTTCTTTGTGCGATCCCAATAAAATGTTCAGTAGTTTTTGCATGGCTGTCTATTTCCTCTCACCTGATCCATTCCCTGCAGAATCTGCTCCATCTCCTCCGTGCTGACCAGGTTGGCCTTCTCCAGAGCTTTGACATACGCCTTGCTCCCGCGGACATCAGCGTCCCACATCCTCTGGTCATAGGTGATGGACGCATTGAACTTCTCCATGATTGGATCGGTATCTCCAACGAAACGACCTCCCCATAGTTTAGTTCCCTGTAGCACAAACACAGGAGCAATGAAGGAGCTGAAAAGGAGGGTTCAGTAAGACTTTGACAGCCTGTTTGACAGCCTGTTTGGATAAGGTCCAGCTGACGGTTGGAATAAGTGTCTGCTGTCTCTTCAGCTCTAGTGTACCTCCATATTGGCCATATTAACCCTCCCCGTAGGCTGTGTGTGTGGTGTTGTCTCTGAGGACAGTTGTTGGCTGTGGAAGACGCCTGTACAAGCACAGAAAGAAAACAAGGCGATTTATTGTCGGTGTCGCTTTAAGAGCGTCAGCGGAGACGTCACAGCGGCTCCTGTTGCTACGTAACAGACAATAATAAAGGGCGGTTTCATAGGTAGCACCCTCTACCGGTGGACCTCTGCTATAACCTATCAATCATATGGTTTTGCGCAGAGGTAACTAATAGCTAACCAGTAAGTCCAGTCCGGAGACGACTTTTAATTATAATCTGTTACTTTAAACAGCATTTAACACAGAAATAAAATGCAGGTTTTTATGCATTCATGTTTTATATTGAATTTTTAAATAAAATATTTAAAAAAAAATAGACTTAGGCGGATTAATTTTGTCATTTGTATACACAAGTGTAAAAAAAAAAGAAGTTTTGTTAAGAATAGCTCTCTGGACAATTTCATTTTTTTTTTCAAATGCATCCTTTAAAACAGTAAAAAAAAAACAGTCATATAAACCTATGACTGTATATTTGCAGTTCTAATATTGTATATTTGCAGTTCTAAT